TGATTTGTAGATTCTTAAAGGCGATCGCTGGCTGTTCTCGTGGCGTCATAGTTGTCCCCCTTGTCGACCGTCATCGGGGGCGACATTGCCGTGACAGTCACTTGGGTAAGCGGTCATCGCCCATTTTCCTGAGGTGGCCACTCCATCACAGTTGTAGTTGCCTCAGCAGGGCAGGAAGAATGGGGATTCTGGTTCGTTCCAAAACGTCCATCTAGAGAATCCTGTCCTACTGTCCCAGCTTTAGTATTTTCCGGAGACAGTTGAAGCGGAACCGACTAAGCTTCCTGGACTAGTTGACGTAGACAGTCCGTGCCTCCGTCCCTTATTGTAGCTTGACAAAACTATCGTCCTGAGTAGTTTGAGCTTCGTGTTAAGTCCATGGTGGTCCCAGGCGGTGGCCTGCAGCCGACCGAAAGCCAGGCCGGCGTTGGGGATCCGATGGGCCGCTTTGTCTTCTATCTTGTTTTTGTTTGAGATGGTGCTTCCGAGGTATGCCAACCTGTCGGCAGATGCTAGTCAGGTTACCTTCAGGTTAATACAAAATAATATGTTCCTACTCTGATGAGGATTGGTGCATGACACCGCTTCGTCTGCGTTGATACTCGCCGGAAGTTTGCCAAGTGGAAGGCGAAGAAGTACATGCTTCTTTGCATGACTGCTTCTGTCGTGACATCGAATGCACCGTGGCCCGCAAAAAGGGGGTCATTCACGGTGTTTACTGAAGTCTACGTGGATGCTTGCTTACGTCTAGTGTTGAGAAGCTGGCCGTCGGTCCTGCAAACGACGTTGATCCTGGGGCGCTCATGTTGGTAGGCATGACTGAGAGCAAGAGATTGAAGTGGGTGGGGGCGAGTACGCAGCCCGTCGCTGCAAATGCATCTGAGACTGTCCCGTGGTCTGTGACGTGTGCCATCGAGCCGTCGTGGAGCCGACGCACCATGTGCATGAATCGCTCAGGATAGCAAAGCGTTGGCATGATTTTCCAAACTCCATCATCGTTCACTGTGCCGAATGCTTTCGTCAGGTTCACAGAGGTAGTGTGGAGACTTCGGCACAAATATTCATACATAAAATTTCGTTCTGCCTCTGTAGACCTTAGTATAGTACTGACTTACTAACCGTCAACAGTTGATTTCTGAGGAAATTGAAGAGCAGCAATTTCTAAATTGGAGTATCTGCCAGAATACACACGGGGAATGCTGGGGACACACTGCTGAGTCGAAGCCCTCGCAGCTGTACCATGCAGCGGCAGAATATCGACGAAACATGCGTGTCTGGCCTTTTAGCTAGTGCCTGTGCTGCTAGTACGGTATCTTGTAATGCTAAAACTAAAGGTCTTGGAACAAAGCCGACGTTAGGTTAGCCATGTCACCAAGTCTCTCGAACCACCATTCGACCGTGAACGGTCCTTGTTCAAATTTAGACAGCAGCATAGTCAATTGTGATGTGATTGTGTAAAACTTTTCAGTCGCCTACCTGTGCCATGGAAGGGAAAGGGAAGTAATTGGCACAGGAGCACAACCGGGTAGGTTCGAGCCATATCGTGTGCGGAATAGCCTTCGTAGCTCTTGTTTTCCTCCCCGTTATGAAGCTGATCCAAAAAGGCACAGGAAGCGGCCGCATTTTCGCGTAGGAGAAACCGAAACACAAAGCGTTGATAGGTGGCGTGGCGTATGCCTATTATTTGCCAAGCAGATGTCCGTTCTCCTTCTCATGCTAAAGTTAAGACAGCCCGGTAATCAACCGACATATTATTGAAGAGTATAAAGGCAGGCGATTGTCAGACGGTGATCCACAGAGTAACCTCACAACTCAATACACTGTTCACTGATTGTAATGTCATTTCAGAACTTTCTTGCTTGACTGCTTAAGTAGTTCGTCTGTGCTTATCACGGTCATCGTGCTTTTTGTCTAGTGCGTGTCAACTAAAGCAAAGGAAATTCTGCTGCCTGACGGTCCAGCTCACACGGAGACGACCTCGATTCTAGATAATGCCGATAAGAACGGGGTTAAGTAAGTTGCCGCTTTTTGTGCAGAACGATTGCCTAGGATTAATGATCAACTTTTTCTCTCACTGTCCTTTTATCTGACCTAAATTTCGCTCTCCGAGAGACACACACCCTGCTTATCTTCTTAACCGACAGGCTCCTACGCTAGATGAGTAGCTCAATCCCTTCAAAGGTTCCTTTAACATAACAGGGCCTCCGTAGCCTCAATTTTCGAAAAATCAAATGGAATATTTGTCAAATGCACCTAAATAACAAGGTATACATCCTCTGGTATTATAACCTACGAACGACAATCCAACTACTCCTTGGTTATTTATTACTTTAGGATGCCGCCGACATGAATGCCATAGCCGATGACGTATGTTGGATCCAGAAATGGGCGAATTTAAGGTTGTTTCCACAAAATATGAACGACTTGCATTCTGACTATAAGTCTGGTGGATGGCCCCGCGACTATTATGCTCGACAGTTTTAAAGGGTCATTTAAAAGTAGGATCACATCGGAAAGCACATAAAATAATTTTCGCTGACATTTTGATTACTAATATGGAGCTATCTGCTCTATCGATTCGAACGCATTTCTTACTCGGTGCCGTCGAGGACAGGATTTGTTTTTATTGAAGCTTTTTCATATACCCATTGGACGTGCTTCTTGTGATCGATGACTACGAACCCACTCTCACTGAGATCTCGCTTTTGCATAGGTAGCTTGTTTAATTTATTTGGGGTAAGGCGATTTGCACATGAGCAAAACCCGAACTTTTGCGTCTCTTGCTGCAATCAGTAAGCGATGCACTCCTGACAGCCGGCCACCAGTAGATATGCACATACGCAAGCATCACCTCAGAGGGCAAGACCTCGGAATGAGAAGGGCCAACAGGCACCGTCTCGATTTTTTATGCAAATATGCGCTGAACACCGGTGTGGCCTCTAGATCCTCCCATTATAATGCTAGGTTGCTCCAACGCATCCCTGATGCTTGAGCGAGCTCACGGGCTTTGTGCGCATCAGTCAATGCACAGCGTTTATGGCAGTTGTCTGATTGGCGTGTGGAGCGCACGGAGCTAACAGCTCCGAGGGCGAGCATGTGAATGGTTGATGCTAGAGCTCTTGGCATCCAGATACTTTGGCGGTCACGTTAGAAAGAGCTCCGGTGTTTTACGTCAAGCCGACGGTCCCAGTAAACTCGCATATAGCCCCGGAAATGGTGAGGACAGGCAATTGCGAATGGGCAAGCTGATGCAGATACCGACTTTAAAAGGTGGCTTTCACAATGAATTTAGACTCTGGGAGCAGGTGGATTGCTCAAGACTGTCGATTTTTCGTCATCGTTACTGGAAACAAATTGAGTTGTTATCAGTATTTTAATCAGTACATACATGTTCATCTGCTACCTCACACAAACTGCGAAACTTGAAGGCAGGTGACTTTGAACAGTTCATGGATAAGTCAGAAAGTGACCTCCTCGGTTTTGCTTCGAGCGATTCGTTTTTTCGGTTGCTGATGGTCCCAAATGAGTTCATTCGGTCTAAGGACACATGTTTCTCTTCGTTCGAAGAGTTGTCTCAAGTTAGATAGACAAAATACACAAAGCCGTTCAGCACAATGTCATATCTTCGGTCGGCACACATTTACAAGGGCGAAACTGTATTTGGAATAACAATATATCCATCCTGATGTACTTCGTGGGAAGGCTGTTCAGCTGGCGATTCCGGGTTCCATGGTTCGATCACAAACAAAATTCGTGGAAGTAGTTTTCTCATCGTATTTCATTGGCAGCCCCATGGTTAACTAACGAGAGGGGCTTACAACGCAACTTTTTATCTGTCTTTCAAGTCTTAATTCATCTCAAATGTACTTGAGAAGGATATTGTGGAATGAGCACACGTTGCTATGGCTAATGTCGCGAACAGTAGCATCGAGTAGTGTGTATGTCAGTGTGAGTGTTAGACGTTTAAATGAGTGCATCCATACATCTATGATAGAAGAAAGATCATGAGTATAGAAGGAATGCGCTTACGGCGGGAAGTAAATAAAACTTGCGAAGAAATTCAAAAAATATGAAGTGGTTTGTTACATAGTATGATGATCCGTCTGGAGACAGGGCCCCTGCATCTATGCGAGATGACCGGCGGGGGGTTATTACGCTGTCGGTAACTACAAGGAAGGGGTAATGAGGTGCAGCAAAACGAACAGGTAGGTGATGGTGGTGGTGGTGGTGATGATGATGGTGGTGGTGGTGGTGGATGTCAGCTATTCGTGAGGAGGGGGAGAACATTCGCTAAGCACACTGACAAAAATTAAACCAGCTCAATCCTCGATCCAGGCGAAAATGGAATTTATTGACAAGTTCAAACAAGCCTTAGAAATTTCGGGTGGGTCGTAACACCGTGAATCAGGCACCTGAACTTAACTCCAACGTTTCCAGTTATGCTGCATGGCTATATCTCACGCAGTTGAGCCGTATTTTGACACACTATTTATGTGCTACTCCGTCGAGTGAACTAACCCTGGCAGTGCAAATGCGGTGTCTTTGATTTACTAACTTAAGTTTCGTCAATTCCGAACTTTCAGAGGAGGTTTTCTTATTAAAGCTGCTTTTGTCTCCTCTTTTTTCATTTTACATAAAAGCCTTCAAGAGCTAACCCTAAAACATCAGACGGACGAGAGCTCGTCAGAAGCGACGAGGTGAGTTACAGGAAATAGTCGAGTAGAATTAGACACGATCGCTGAACAGGAGACTTATTACCTGACATTGCAGATTCGCATTCATCGCCAAAGACGGAATCTAAAGTTTTGATTCAAGATGTACCTCGGTTAGACGGACCAATCAAGGAGCATGTAAGAGGTACGCCAATGAGTTCACGGATTTGTAGACTCACCGTCGATATGGCCCTATAACAGTTGGAGTCACCGGCTTTCCGACATCACAAACCGAAATTTTGGGCTCGGTATGTAAATGATGCCTTCGTCGTCATCAGAATTGAGCAGATGCTGACTTTCAAAGGGCGTCTCAGCGCCGTCTCGCAGAATATGCGATCTACGATGGAGAAGGAGTATGAGGGACGGGGGGAAGAGAAGGAGGAGGAGGAGGAGGAGGAGGAGGAGGAGGAGAACGACCATCTGACTTTATTTCATATCCTCGTATGGCCCAAAGTGTGGTGGCCTTACAACCAGAGTATTCATGCAAGCGACAAATACAACACAAGTACCGAGCTCCAACAGCAACCCCCAGCTACTCACAAAGGACACCAGACCGACTGGTCTAGAAGCAATGGAGCGAACCGGAAGGCAACGCTGCACGATTTCAATATTTTTGACAGGTGATTAGAGCTACTAGCTACATGCGAAATTTCCTCAAATAATGCATGGGCATACGAGACTAGAGACATAATTCAACCGACCTGGAATTTCGGCCAGTGCCCCGGTGCGTTGAGAACGCCTCGGAAATCATCATCCGCCTTCTCGCAATCCTTTGATTCGGGATTTCACACGGACCGGAGTCGACCATAAGGCAGTCGGTCTTGAGGCCGTAGGGCCCCCTGTCACTGCAAGTAAAGCCTGGAGTTGTTTACCGGGTCTGATTTAGTTGCGATCAAAGCAACTATGTCGAAGAAACCTGAAGAATACTCCGGACGCGGGTGGCCGCGCACGCAGCAATAGGAAGGGGGAAAGACGCCAGCTTCCATGTCGCGGCTCATTCGACGGGGGCAGGCCATAAATTCAAGTTAGCCGAGGCAGAAACTCTTGAGAGAGGAGACAGCAACGTAAACCGCGTACTACTTGAATCATGGTTTTTTTGTCTTTAGTCGATTAACAAGCGTACTGGCCTCCCCATCCCTATTTTGCTGACACAGCGTAGGCAAAGTGGTCAGCCGTGCGGGGACGCATGCAGGACAACTGCTCTCGGTGCCAGTGTCGCTGAGCCAAACGACCCAAGAACTCACGCGAGTGATGCAATGCCAGCAACTAACGACTCGGCTGCGGTCAGCAAAGCAATTATTGCACCATGTGCAGCCACCTGCGCCAAATTCGGGAGTGGCCCAATTTTGCTATTTCCGCGACAACATGTCAACAGCATATTGCAATACTTGAGCCATTAAGCAGTTATCGCACCACGTGCGGGGGCTGCCAATTTTGAAAGGCATGAAGTGGCATAGCAACTGCATGCTATAAATACTGCGACATCTGCGCAACTTACTACTCATACTTGATTTTGTCTCCGATGGTGGATGCTAGTGTAAATTCAGAACGCCAGACGAGCTCTTGTTCCAGCAATCTTACTTCCTCAATTGGGCAACGAAAGGTTTAAGGACCCCGCTTAACTGTCGGTGGTCTCCGGGTCGTGTCGTTTGGGAATTGTGGTAATAGGAGTCCTATGGGCGGGCAGCATACAGGACAGTAAGCTGAAGAAATGCACCAAAACATCGAAATTGTTGTGATTTCTGTTCGAAATCTTATCGTACGCCTTCGTATGGCAACGAAAATGAGCAAATTAATAAAGAAAAATAAACGGAAAGCAAGTTTCAAAAAATAAGACAACTGTAGTAATGGCTTGCGTCTTACTTCGGTTCCAATTATGTTCT